AGAAATTGAATAGACAAAGAAATAACTTTAAGCACTAACAGGGTATTTGTAAGTCAATCAGTCTGCGGCATTAAATGTGCTTTATTTTCACCGAAATTCGAACCCTTTTGACACCTTTAAATTTACCGCCTTATTAAAGATGGGCCCGGAAATGTTAGCCAGATTCTCTTGCTTCAAGGATCGTTAGGCACGGACATGGGTCGCGTCGAGGGGTCGAGGTTGAGGTCGAGGTCGTGGGGAAAAGTTTTGGAATAATAATAAACCATGTTGAAAATTGAAAGTGAACGCTTTGCATATTCCGTTTTTTTATTGTTTTCATTTTTTTAGGGGGTTTATTGATTTTTAAAAAAGTATGCTTAAATGCTAGCTACTAACAAATTGTCCATTAACTAACGTAAATTTAATTAACATTTTGTATACGCATTATTTTTGTGTTGTTTAAATCGTAATTTAATTTAATGCATGTTACAATATTTTTATTATAATATTTTCTTCGGTCTGGTTTTTTTGTTTTTTTTTTATTAATATTTAATTTAATTTAATTTATTTGTATTATTTTGGTTTTTGTTTTTGTTTTTGTTTACCACGGGTATTTGCTAGTAAATGCAGAAATATGAAATTGTTTTTTTGCTTGTTTGTCAATCAACTGGTTCGCGTTAATTAATATTAAATTTAAATTTAAATTTAAATTTAATTGTAGTCAATTAGTCTAGTAGTTGTTTGTGTTATGCTTTCTTTTCCAATATTCGCTTATGTTTGGTTTAACTGCCGTTTTATTTGGCTCATAATTTAATATTAAAATTACACAATTTAATATTTACAAAATTATGTTACAGTACTTTTCAGTTGGTTGCTTTTGCTATTTCTTTCTTTTTGTTCTATTATTATTTTACCTTTTTTAGTTAGTTTTAAATTTCACCAAAAGTTTCGCTGCCAACATTTAACTTTTCTGGCCACGTGAGCAGCCAACTGCGTGGGGGTCTATGTGGAGAGGGGGGTGGCGGGGCGGGGAAGGAGGACAGCAGCTAGTTTCAGGTGCGAAATCGGTTCGCAATTGGACACGTGCCGCTGTCCGGACTGGGAGCTCCGCCGCAGCCAGAGTCCAAGAGTCCCGACAAAAAAAAACACTTGTAGTTTTGTGTTCCATCCGAACGCTTGTTATGGGAGTAGGGAGCAGGGAGCGGGCAGCGGGGAGCCGGTCTGCTTTGGGGCAAATTTTTGGCTTGGGGACTGCTGCTTACGTGCTAAATTTAATGCCTTCTATTATACAGGGTGTTTAACTAGCTGTATCAAGTTTCATAAACTCTTTTACATAGTATCATAGTTTGCTTAATTTAAGTTCCGATGCATTTTGGTTTAAGATTTTCTTTTTGATTTTTAGTTGGTTCACTTGAAAATGTTTGAGAAAACGGACAGAAATTCGTGAGACAAGAAAACTGATTTTCAAGATTTCGCATATATACTGTGAAAACTCAAAACAGAAAGAAAGCAACATTTTGTGTTGCAAGAAAAGTCGCAAAGGAATATTTAAATAAATATTACTTAATATTTATTTGAGAAGCGGGCCGAAATTCGTGAGACAAGAAAAACATAACAAAAATCTATACAAATTCGGTTCAGTTTCTTGAGAAAGAATTCTGAAGATATTTAGATTAAATATGTTGAGCAAAAAAAAAGTTAAGTTAAACTGTCAAAGTTTTAAAAGTAACAAAAATATATTACATATAAAAAATTGTACAAACGAAAACTATATCTATTCTTTAAAGATTTTCTGAAAACAAAATTGGAAACATTTTTTGAAATTAAATTTCGGTTTAGTTGTCTAAGAAATCAGAAACATACAAGAGAATTTTGAAAAAAGTTTCAGTAGTTTATTAATTAATTATTTGTAAATATTTAATTAATTATAACAAACAGTTTTACAAACGAAAACAAATTGTTTGCTTTAACAATTTTGAGTAAAAGAATTAGAAAAACATTGGAAACAAAATGAAAGTGTATTAAAATGTTGAAATCTTTGAAGTATTCAGAAAGCTTTAAGGAAATGCTAAGTTTTGTTTTCTGTTAGATATAGTATTTGGTATTTGTCAATATCTTAAGAGAAGTAACAGTACACGTAAAGGCTCTGCTTTAGTTTAATCCGTATTTGTTGCTTACAAACTAACCTAAGCTAACACACACATACACTTACACTCAGTCGTAGAACAGACATGCACACACACACACACACACATACAGAGACACACACATATTGAATACTTAAGTTTTGTAGTCGAGCTGAAATTGCTGCACAATCCACATCCACATCCGTTTCCATATCCTGGCATTACGCTTACAGCTGAAACATCATTTTTAACTACAACTTAACTATTTATTTTTATAATACAACTTTGTCGGCTTCCGTCGTAGTGGGCGTGGCACTTGCCCCGCCGCCTGGACCAGCGCCGCTGCCCGTTGCAACCACGGCCAGCGCATTGTCCACGCCCACTTGTGGAGGCGGCTGCTTTTGGGTCTGTTGGGGCTGCTTGGTTTTCGCCTTATCATGCACGTACATCGCGGCCAGGGCATTGAAACGTGGACCCCAATTTTGTAAATAGTTAAAGTCTTGATTCTCATCGTCGGTGCCTGCAATTGAAGGGGGATGAGCGGATGGTTTTTAGCGTTTGGCTGTCGCCTCACCTGATGCCAACGAGCTGAGCGATTCGGCAATGCTGCCGCTGCCCTCGAAGGTGAAATTGCGCAGGTCATCAAAGGGCGGCGCATTGGGATCCTTGTCGATGCGCTGCTTGCGCTCCTCCATCAGATAGGCCACATTCAGCTCCTGGCCGGGCGGCAGCAGTGTCATCACAGGATCTGAGGAGGAGTACACACAAAACACATCAGGTCACTTCAGATTCTGGACAGGCGCGCACAGGCTGTGTTTTTACTCACATATAATGGGCATCTTGCAGGCGGCTATGTCCGGTGGCATTGTGCCGCTCTGTGCGCTGATTGGTATTTGCAGTGGGGTTATGTCGAATGCCGTCATATCGTCCTCGCCGCCGCCCTCGTCCTCGTAGCTAATCACCGTTTCGCGCACATCCTTTTCCGCTCCGGAGCGCTTCTTCTTCTTGGTGGTTTTACGCTTGCGATTGTACAGCACGAATATCAATGCGAGAACTGCAATAAAAAGGAAGCGTATCAAAAATGTGCGCTAATTTATTTTTCAATATATCATGTGTGTACTTAAAGCTTTGCTTGCAATTTCAGTTACTTTTATCTCAGACACCCATTGAAAAAGCGTCAGATTTTTAAAAGTTATACCTTTTTAAATTCGTACGGATCCCTACTATCAATTGGCATTCAAACAAATTAAAAATCGATGGGTTAAAAAAGGTTGTTGACCAAAAACCGATTCGTTTGTAAAGTCAACCTTTTTTAATGATTTTTCGGAATATCTCGGCCTAATAATGTCCGATTTGGGAATTGTATACCATTTTGGACTCGTAAAGATCAGTACTAATCAGTACTACTGGCATTAAATAAATGAAAATCAAAATTTTGACCAAAATCGACCAAAAAGCATCACGTTTTTTCGGGGTCGGTTCGAAAATATCAACTTTTTTGATGATTTTTTTTAATATCTCGGGTAAATATTGTCTGATTTTGAAATGTTATATCTTTTTTAAATTCGTACGGATCCCTTCTATCAATTGGCATTCAAACAAATGACCGAAAAACGATTAGTTTGTAAAGTCCTGATTTAAGTCCCGACGAGTCTTGTGTCAAACACCTCGTATGGACAAGGACTATAAGAATAAGATTTTTAATTCCTTTGGCCAGACATAAAAATCTTCCTTATGGGTTGCGAGATATGGGTATTGTCTTTTTAAAGGACATTAAATTGACCACCTTAAGGATAATTCTGATGTCCTTTGGACACCATGTAGTCCTTGTCCTGCAAAGTTAGAATATGTAATAAAAAGGACGAAAATCCTTCAAGGAGCTGAGGAAAAGAGATTTTTGTCTGAAGAGATAAAAGGCTGTATATCGGCCGTATCCTTGCCGATCATGATGTCCATTTGCCAACCGTTAGTCCTCATCCTCCCAATTCAGTATGTGAAATGGAAAGGACGAAAGTCCTTTAGACAGCATAGATATGAGTACAAATCTTTCGTAAATTAACAAAGCTACAACTCGGTCATATCCTTGCGAATCCTGACAAGTCCTGTGTCAAACAAATCGTATGAACAAGGACCACAAACTGTCCAAAGGACAACAAAATCGTCCTTGCCGTTTCCGATATATAGCCAATTTTCTAAAAAGGACATTTTTTAATCAGCCATAACTCGGCCAACTCCTTAAGGATATCGGAAGGATATGTCTTTTTGAACTCGTGGTAAGCAGGACTATCGATTGGCATTCAAAGATTTCCAGAATTCGACAAAAAATTGCGTCGAAATTTAGCCTAGGGGGTTAGTCGCAAAATTAGCTAAAATCGAAAATATCCGGGCTAACTTCGCCATTTGAAGGACTATCGGGATGTCCTTTGGTCAACAGATAGTCCTCACCCTCCCATTAACGAATTTACAACCCAAAGGACGAAAGTCCTTCAGACAAAAAATTTTTAAGGACAATTTTGTATACTAAAAATAGGCCATAGCTCGGCTATATCCTTGCGTATCGTTGCAAGTCATGTGTCAAAAAAATTGTATTAGCCAGGACTACAAGCTGGCCAAATTTCATTAGGATCGTCCTTGTAGTTTGGGAAATATTTAAGGATTTGTGTTTTTGGGCCATTTCGTGCGCTCCGCGACTGAAATTTTACAAGTCCAATTTCGAGCCATATGATTCTTAGATGACCCCATGTTTTTTTGATGCAGATCGATGCAGGGGGTCTATACGATACTAACGCAGCATGTCCTTTGAAAATCTGCAAGGACATGCCCGAGTTATGGCCTATTTTCCCCTCTTATATAATTATTTGTATGTTTAATTTAAATGTGTTTTTATCTTTTCAGACTGCCAAATTAAGGACTACAAGGAGCTCTAAGGACCTCCACGAGTGACAAAGCAGATTTTTCCAGGATCGGACTTTAATTAGGCCAGATATAGATATTTTAAGTTTCAATAAGCTAAAATTATATTTTTAGAGAAATAATTAAGAAAACTAGCATAAAAAACAACAATTTTGTAAATTTAAACATAAATAAATCAATTATTTGAAAAACAAAAACTAAATTCCTGTTTTTTTATTTAAAAATTCAAAAATCAACGGTTTTTACAAAAACTATTGCATACCCGTGAGGGGCGTCTGTTGGCAACCGCTCGCTGCCGAGATTTTTCTAAAAATCTGCCAAAATACCAGGCGAACAGAAATGCCCAGAAGGTCGACAAAAAATATTTTTAGGTGCCGAAAAAATGTCATTGCATACCCAAAAGGGGCGCCCTTTTCGCCGGATGGGTGCCAAATTTTTACTAAAATTTCCTAAAAATACCAGGCGAACAGAAATGCCCAGAAGGTCGACAAAAAATATTTTTAGCTGCCGAAAAAATTTCATTGCATACCCAAAAGGGGCGCCCTTTTCGCCGGCTGGGTGCCAACTTTTTACTAAAATTTCCTAAAAATACCAGGCGAACAGAAATGCCTAGAAGGTCGACGAGTGCTTTGAATAAAAATTTTCATTGCATAGCATTAAGGGGCAAAAATGTAACTCAATTAAAATGAGTACTGTTAAGTAGCAGTTTATGTAAAAAGAGTGCTGTAAGCCTGTACAAAAAACAGCTGCAGCTGCAGCTAATGTAAAAGGGCCCCTGAAAGAAAAAGCATACATGTTTTTGGACCATTTCAATGCACATTTTGCAGGGATCTGATCCTTTAGGTTCCCAAGGACTATATCGATGGTATGGTGTAACCAAGGATATGCTAGTTAACTAGTAACCATCCAAGGGGCAGGACTTTTGCTGGGGGCGGCTGTAAAAAGTAAATCATACATATTTTTTAGCCATGTTCTTGCGTATTTTGCGAGAACTCGGTCTTTTAGGTTCGCTAGGACTACATCCATGATATGGAATAACCAAGGATATATAGGTCAACTAGGTACCAATAAAAAATCGATGGGTTAAAAAAAGTTGTTAACCAAAAAACGATTCGTTTGTTAATTTTGGCACAAATCGACCAAAAAGCAAGGTCGATTTTTCTTAAAATCGGTGTCGGCTCAAAAATCAAAACTTTTTTGATGATTTTTTTTGAATATCTCGGTTAAAAAGCGTCAAATTTTTAAAAGTTATATCTTTTTGAATTGGTACGGATCCCTACTATCAAACATTTTAAAAATCGATGGGTCAAAAAAGGTGGTTGACCAAAAACCGATTCGGTTGAAAAGTCAACTTTTTTTTTATTGATTTTTTGGAATATCTCGGCCAAATAATGTCCGATTTGGGAGTTTTATACCATTTTGGACTCGTAAAGATCAGCACTATCGATTGGCATCAAAAGTATGAAAATTTTAATTTTGACATAAGTCGACAAAAAAGCAAGCGGTTACATCACGTTTTTCCTTAAAATCGGGGTCGGCTCGTAATCACTACTTTTTTGATGATTTTTTGAATATCTATAATTTTTAAAAGTTAGAGCTTTTTGAATTCGTACGGATCCAAGGTGCATGAATAAAGTTGCCATAAGCTTTAATAAGAAACAATTAAGTTTGACTTATATATGTATAATTTTAAGAGAAGAACGAGTTAATTTGTACCTGAATATAAAATAAGCAACAATTATGTATGTTCTTGGAGAAATGAATAAATTATATGAAAAAGATATCTTCTGATTTCTTTGCTAACTCTCGAGATTTTGATAAAACTTCACCAAAAATACCAGGCGAACAGAAATGCCCAGGTTAGCAATTATAGTGTGCTAAAAACCAATGTGTCCTTTTGACAATAAGCCATAACATATCCAAATCCTTGAGTATATTGATTGTATATATATTAAATATGTATTGAATGTGTCGTTTTCTTTACGAAGATAAAAAACTTGCAAAATTAAACTCAACTTGGAAACACGCGCGACTCTTTTCGATTAGTTAGCAGTTTTGCGAAAGCAAAATCTTTAGCCCATTTATACTTTAACTTACTGGTTAAATAAATTAAAAGTTTTAATATGTTCTAAAGACTGAATCTAGATACTTTGCTGTTTACCAGAATAGATAATGAACAATTTTTGGTGGCGCAACGCGGAGTGCCTGATAATTGAGAGGCTAAACTTTTGCGCTACCGAAAAGTAGAGTGAGAGTGAGAGAGGGAGAGGGAGAGAGAGAGAGACAGAGAGAGAGAGAGGGAGAGACAGAGTGAGAGGGCGAGGACAGAAAAGTAGCCACACACATGCGACAATTCGCATGTAGTCCGCGGCTGGCGACATTGGGTGCTCTACATTTGTTAGGGCGGGCCTCTGCTCTGCTGCTGCGAGTTAAGCGGATTATCAGATGAAAAACAAGAGCATTTCGAATGCAGAAAAACATGTTAAGTTGCTTCCATTTGCCGCTTTTTGGCTTTAGTTCAGTTTGTTTAAGTAGCATAAAGTTATTAATAAGTTTTCTGCTCCTCGAATGCTCTAGCAACATGTTCTGTTTTTGCCTTTTAGTGTAAACAACGAACTGCATTGAGTAGGGCCTGGGGTGGCGCGTGTGGCAGTCATTGCAAGTGCATTTTATCATTTGTGCTTCAGTTGACAGCAATATTAACTTGGGTAGTCCGGGGTTCAGCAAACATGACAGTCAAGTAAAAATAATTAAAACTCAGCTCTTGGCTCTCAAATGAGTAGCAGGCAGCATGCAGCTGGCATCTCGCTCATCTCCAGCTGCTGCTTCGGCGACTTTCTCATTTTTGGTTAAGCGGATTCATTAGTTGGGCTGCAATAACTGGCAGCTGGTCTACGAGACAGCGCCAAGCCGAAACTTGGCCAAAAGTTCATTAATAATAGCCAAGAGTTTAAGCTTTTCAGCACTTAAAAATCAAGCGGCCATCAGCGCTGCGAATGTTACTTATCATTACAGTTATTATCTGCAGAATACAATTAGAAACAGGAATATTCTATTATATTCTCAACATTCATTACTATGATGCATTGTATCTGTCTTTGGCATTCAGATGTTAATTATACCCTGTACTCATTGCTTATAGAAAAGTAGATCGAATTTAGATAATAGGTAGAAAAAGTCATGTCGGTTTTCAGGAATTCCGGTGCTGTTCTTTTTCGCATTTACTCTATCGACAAGTATTGTCTTAAACATATCGATAAATATTGCATTTACTATATTGATAAATGTCCCATTTACCTTATCGATACAAATCGCATTTACCATATTGATAAATGTCGTATTTTTTTTACATTAAGTTCTCGGCCAATTTAAAAGGTAGAGATAATTAATATAGAAGACCCAAGAATGTATTTAAGTCGCATCTCCGTGCTCTGACAAAAAATAGAAGCAATCGAACAACAAGCTAATTTAAAAAAATAAAAGGGAATTTTCTGGTAATGGCAATTCCTGTCGAATGTCTATACATAATGATATGTCCTGTCGAATATATATACATATTTATATAAATATATATATTGGACAGGTCATTAGACCAACTAGGGGACAGGGTGTTTTCTAGTATGGCACTTTTGTCTATTCAAATTTGAGTCGGTTCTCCTCTTGTCCCTTTTCAATTGGCCTCCTGTCGTGGTGCAAACGCCGAAGAATAACATTTTTCTTTCGATTTAATTAGCCTCGTTAAACGTAAATGGAGTTGTTGTTAAGGCATCGCCGACAGCCGACTTTTACCTTTTCGGTATTTATTTCACATTTTTGCCCCACTGGGGTTAAGACAAAAGCAGACAGCGCGACAGGCACGCGAAAATACTTAGAACTCCGCGTGCAGCAGTCCATTCAGAGCTGGGCACTTGGGGCAAGATGTGCCTGGAAATGGTTAATGGCTCGGCTGAAGGGTAATCAATGCTAAATAATACTAAGAATATAACTTAAGAAGTATGCTCGAGTGCCTGTATTGAAATATTAATGCTTAGGCAAGAACTTTTCAATGCCTATTCGTAACACAAGGCAACAATAGCTTGGGCAAGTATATAAATCTTAAATGCTTACAATCTTGTGCCATATTTTGATGCCTAATAAATACTCTCAGATATTTTACGGAAAGGATATTTAAATTCGGCGTACCGTAGATATACATTGTTTATTTTCGTTTAATTTTTGCAAGTCTTTATACTCAGAATTCGTAGCTCTCCTTGGCCATTGCCGAGGATTGAACTTTGTTTTTTTCCAAGAATTTATGAATGTTTACTATTTATGTTAAATGTTCCCAAAACTCATAGCTACTTTTTATTCTTCTCATTTTTCTGTTTCAGCTAGCATTTCATTGAGGCCAATGTCAGGTGAAATGTACAGAAATAATCACACTCGCCCGCAACTACAATGGACCCATCGAGCAAGTGACTATATCCGAAAAGTAAACAATAATTGCAACAACAATAAGTATGACAAGAAAAAAATGAAAAAGAAAGAAAGAAAGTGGAAAACTAGTACACTTGTAAAACAACAAAGCGTGTCCTGTTCTTTGGGCTTCTTTGTTTACACTTAGCTACACTGCACACACATAAAACGGGGGCTTTCTTTCCTTTTTCTTTTTGTTTTTTTAGCCATTCGCCTGTTTTTTGCTGGCAGCCAAAACTTCATGACCAGGTCGGGTCAGTTGCGCCGTGGTACAAAAGCTCATCAGGGCGAGCCCAGCTATGTTTTACTTTTTTTCTCCATTTTTTTTAGAGCAGCTTTGTTTTTGGTTGTTTCTTTTATGCTTGGACCCGGGTCCACTTGAAATTTTATGCCAAAATACAGTTCAGCGATTCTGAGATTACAGAGGACAGAACACGAGCAGGGTTTGCGGGGGAAGTGCGGCACAGCGAGAAAGCAGGGGGGCGCAAAAAAAGCGTTGACTGTAAATAATGTTAGATAATTATTTAGTTTGTTTTTGTCTTGACAGCACTTTAATGCAGCAACAACAACAGCAGCAACACGCAACATAGGAAAATGGCCGCTAGTAAACGAACTTGTTGTCAGTTTCTTGAAATTTTCACTTCATAAACGCCAAAGCCGTGTTTGTGTGTGTGTGTGTGTGCGGGTGTGTGTGGCAGCTCCTGCTGTGCCAGGACATTCGTTTGCGTTTATTTATTGCGCCTATTT